TTCTGTCAACATTTTTATCTGCTGACAAAAACAGAACAAGTAACTTGGCAGAAGCTCATTAAATCTTCTGGGAGGGCTGCAGGAATGGGTTTCTGACAATTAATCAGCATATTAAGAGTCAAACTAAAAAAACAGAGACATCACACACAGTGTAAGGTCACTGCCCTGCTTTTACAACCCCTCAATAACATTCCCCTTACACTTGGACCTAGAAGCAACAGCCTAAAATATCAAGGTAAGTACTGCTTACTCACTTCTGTTCCATGAAATCTGGAGCAGGGAGTTACTGATGCTACTACCTCTATGTGACAGCACTATTTTAAATTATGATATAGTTAAAACATGTTTTTGTTTCCATTATCATTTCAATTCTGCTGAGTATTGTATTTTTCTTCCTGCTCTCCAGGATCACCCTCTTATTCTCATTCAGTCAAGAACTCCTACGTTAGCTATTGCTTGTTCAATTTACATTTTTATTTTCCGCCACAAATGCAGACACCAAAAATACAGAAGTTAATACAGTCACTTCCAGACAGCCGGTGAGAGTTCTCTCTCACCAGGAAAACCCACCAGGACACTCATAATTACCCAGTAAAGTTTTAATCCTGTTAGCATTTATGCACAGAAAGAACTGTTCAACCGATTAAAAACGTTTCTTTCTCCAAAACAGAAATCCTGCATGGGAGTGTAGGACAAATGTATAGTACCACAACTTGAATGGGACTACTCCATTAAATTCATAGCCTATTTTATGGAGAATTCAGGTAGCTTAGCTTGCAGACCTAAATTCTTCTGCTTTCACACATCACAAAACTAAGATTTTCACACAGAGAGGTTTAAATAGATGAAGAGACTTTAAGGTTAAGAATGAGGCCCGTGAATAGCTGAAAAGAAAAGGAAATGCAGACTGGAAAAGCAGGCAACACCCAGGATTTGTGTTTATCTTGGGTATTTAATTGAATAGCCTTAGCCTCTGTTCTGAAAATACAGAGCCAGTCATTCTCCTAGAAGTTGAGATGACAGAGGTCTAAATCTCCATACTACCCAAATAAACACAAGTTTTATTTATTAACTCGGATCACTTTTGTCTGCATACAAACATTTTCAACAGCATGCACAGGAATCTCTTTCAACTTGGAAGCCATGTTTAAAAACATCTGCTAAAACAAAGTTCTGGAGAATCTCCAAAAAAAAAAAAAAAAACAATCACATAAAATGCAACCTCTTAACTAATGCGGAACTGACTACAGCAAAAATAAACAGGTTGTGACCTCTAGAAGGTCTGGTCCACACTCACCTTTTTTAAAAAAACTAACATCCTTACTACTAACTCTAGCAAAGCAAATCCAAAATATATTTTGTGTCAACTGTCCTAAGCCTTTAAAACAAGAAAATGTTTAGACATGCAATTTGGGTTACAAAAGCTCCTTTTTCTGAAGGATAGAATATTTTTTAATCTAAAAAAGTTAAAACAGCACCACAGAGCACCAGCAGATTTGCTGCACTAGTCATAAATGTTAAAAAAAAAAAACATTTTCAAGTTGCTCTACTTTCTTACTCATCCAAAAAGAGAGTTTTTGAAAGGCTCCTTGTCAGATACCTGAGACCCGAAATTAAAACCTAGTGTTTTTCCTTTAATTTTTGTTTGCTTTTTATTGGAAAAAAATCAAAAATCATCCTTGTCAGCACCCACACTTTTGCCATGCACGTATTGCTCTGGAAGAACTTAAATGCATTTTCACTTTGTAAACCAGGCTAATTCCTACACACAAACCTAACAACTTCTATGATGAATCGAGACCAAAAGTTCACCAACCTACTATCCCACTACCAGCCACGGCCTGTTAGATGCCTACGGAAGGGAGAAGGAGTTGAAAGCCCAGAACATGCTCCCTGGGCACCCACCATTTGTGGCTCCAAGGCTGCCCGAGTCAGAGACGAGCAATTCATACGCCGTCACAACCCTCTGTGGTTTTTGCTTTTTAGGATAAACTTGACTAGTCTCCCTTGGGTAAATTCTCAGCACCTGAAACATCCCACAGAAAGGACTCCCACCAGTTAACTATATGTAGGAAGAACCACCTCCTTTAGCTCGTTTGGGACCTGCAACCTAATAATTTCCTTGAGTATCTCCTCATTCTCAAGCTTGCATATAGGGACAAATTGATTCCTACTCACCAAATCTTCTCCACAAATACTTTCCAGATCTCTACACACACACCCTCAGCTTTACCTTTTGCAAGCTGAGAAGTCCTAGCCTATATAGTCCTCTCACACCATCAATGTACTGTTTCCATTCCCTTTATCAGCCTCCTCCAACTCCTTTCTAAGATGGGGTGGAAGACAGTGGGAGAACCAGACCTGCACTTTTTAAGTGCAGTTAATGTGGGAACAGCACAAAATGGCAGCATAAGAAAGATTGTGTCTACATATTATGTTAATTTCCATGTTTTTAGAATGGAAGATTATAGTGTACTTCCTTCGCTGTACTTCCTTCATTACGACCGACTCGAGATGGTTATGGATCCACTGCAACACTGACGCACAAATATAACCACTTCGATGCAACTACTATCCATCACCACTGTAGTATTTTTAAGTGACAAATTAAGCTCATTCAAGAAATGCAGTTCTGAAAGTGAAAGACAGGAAGGTCATCATAAAAAGAAATATAAAGACTCCTTCCCTAAGCTGTTTACCTAGCAGAGATGAAGGGCTGAATGTCCTGAAGCACACCTGGTGATGGGCTTTTGCTTTCTATTAATCAGGCAATAAATCAGACCTATTTCACACACCTGCATGATAGCAACTAATGCTGTTTGTACTCTGTAAACATATTAGACTATAAAGTTGCAAAGAATGTAACACAGCTGTTAACAAAAGATCTACTGCATAACAAAGTCAGTGTCTGCAGCACTAAGGCAGAAATTCTCAGGATCAAGATCTTTTCCTGCTAAATAGCACACTGTTACCACAATCAATCCCATTTCTGCTATTTTCAGTGCATGTCACATTTCTTTAAATGAGGTTGCTCTACAGTGAAGTAGTAACACCATGGCCCAACAGATCAGCCCCTAGGAACCAGCCAGATCATTCCAGCCTGAGAAGGCAGCTTAAAATAGAGAGACAGGAGTGCATTGTTCAGACATTAACTGTCCCCTAATTTATATCTGATGCCTGAATTCCTCAACACACACACACACACACACACGCACACACAGAGCAGGAAACAATTTTAAAGAAAGGGTTCTGTGGTCAACGCCAGAAACCTATTCATTTTCGGCTGGAGAATTTTATGCCTGTTTGACTACTTTAATTAACAGCTAAGACAGATAACTGAAGAAATGTAACAGGAAATCTGTTTTTTTTTTCTTTTTTTTTTTTTTTAACTTAATTCCTACTAATATGGAAAGAAAGAAGGCCATGTGCTCCTGTAGGAGATGAGAATTAAAAAGCTTTACACAAGTCCCTGCAGATTTTAAGGGCTAGTATTACAAAATGAAACCAGGTATTTACTGTCACAGAACACATACACTTGTAATACAATGTTCCAGTTCAAAGTGTCCATCACAAACAGTTGAGAACACTTCGTTAGGATACTATGTTCATGCGAATGAACATGTGGTAGGGAGCTATAGAAATACTACGTACACTAACACAGTGAACAGAAATTGTTTGAAGATGTTCCTGTTCCTTCGGTAAGATATGTCAGCTTGAGATTGATGATTAAGTGCCTTGACTTGAGACCCATACTCTTACAGAGAGCTACACTGCTAACAATAAAGAGTGTATTTTGGTTCCTAAAGTTAATAATTAATAATAGTAAAAGACTGAATTGAAACTAGAAATCAGCTTCTGGAGCAAACTTAAATTACACCCAACAGCTTAAAAGAAAATCCTACCTTTAAAGGTATAATTTGAGTATAAAGAATTATTTTCCAAAAACATTCTGAAATCTTTAAACTCCATCAATTTATAGTGTTTAAAATATCAAAAACTAACAGTGAGTAACACCACAACCTCCTCTGCAAAATTACCTCTCCATACGCACCAGTTGGTATCTGCAGATTCACATGCACAACCGAGTCACACTCTGAGAACCCCCTGAAAGCTGCACATCTTTGCATCTTTCCAACAAAGTTGGAAATACCAAATTAATGGATATTCTGAAGAGAACAGAACAGCAGTTTAAAGGCAGAAAAGGCAGAAAGACATTTTTCTTTTTTTTTCCCTCTCCTTTAAGTCAGGTGTTATTTATTAAGTGCATTAGCTCTGCCATGCAAACTACCCCTTCCCCTTGCAATCTGTACAGTACCCAGATTTCCCTTCCTCTCACTCTAATAAAAACAAGTCTTAGCCCTTCCTCTTAGCCCTGTGAAAATCCAAGCTAAGTACCCTGATTCCATCTCAAAACCCCAAACCAGTATCTTTCATATCTGTTCTGTAGGATAAAATCTAAATTGTATCTATGCCTTCCTACAGTATTCTCCTTCTACACCTCTCCTTATCAGATCTTCCACACCAGCTTCCCTCTCTCACAAAAAAGCCTAAGGTGGCCAGTGCTCTCTTATCAGCTGCTTAAAAGGGTCTGTGATCCTTACAGTGACATCCATCCAAAGAAATGGCCCAAGCACACATCAAATTCCTCCCCAAGAGCCCTAAGGATGAATCTTGTACTCTCCTGCTGTCAAAACACATCCCGAGGTGCACTCCAGGCACGGCAGCCTGGCAGTATTAAATCTGGGAAAGCAGCTCACCAAAGTCAAAGCACAGCCTACAGAACACGAAATTACCATAAAGGCGATTTATGTCTTTAAGTCACTCTGATATCAAATAAGGAAAGGGGGGGAGTGAAGGAACCCAAATTAAAGGTGGCTAGAGTGCTTGTGGAGTCAAAGAACAACTAACAAATGTTTAAAAAGCAGCTTTTGATTAAAGCAGACGAAGCTCCATTTCAGGAAATGGATGCAGTTAGTCCCACACCGACGCCACCACCTCACCTCTCCCGCGGCCGCGTTTCCCGCGGTCTGAAGGCCTCTCCCCTTGATTGTTGTCCACTCCGTTCTCTTCAGCTCTAACTGTGGAGAGAAGAGAGCTTAAAAGAGGCCTTAGCAACTCGCACATGAGACAATATAACCAGCTGCCTAACCTAAACCCCAAAAGAAAAAGCAAGATTAAAAAGACATCTCAGTCTCCCTCATCTTCCTTGGTGTTTTAGCTACAAGCAATTACATTTACTGTGCACTAAAAGCAGGCAGCAAAATATTTCATAAGACGAAAACATCCTTCAGCATATATGCTAGTTTTCTATAAAAAGAAGTTATGATTTGTGCTACACTGTTAATTAGCAGGGCCTCATCTCTCTCAAAAAGCAGGAACTAAAGCTGCCCTCATATCTTTCTTCCTTGATAATGTCCTGGTAGGTTAGCAGTGAAAGAATAAGAGAAACAAATAGACAGGCTCTTCTTGTGATTAAGACATCCCTACACAACTAGGAAAACTTAAAAGAACTCTCCTCTCTGTTTAACACTAAGATTCATGACATCTTAGTTGTCACAACATTTGAATATCTTCCAACCACAAACTAGATGTTGGCTAATGCTGTGAACTGATTTCCCGCTTGTAGAGAAAAGTTCTACTTCTTTTTTTCTTTCTTAATTTCCATTTTTCTTCTCTCATAGCGGTGTTTTACAAGGCTCTCATAGGCAACATGTACAGCTTAGATATTGCCGATAAAACAACTTAGATAAAAAAGAAACACACACCCAATGGTGATCTAATGTGATGCTACCTAAGTCGGGAAAACCGTCAATGCTCTTTTTGATAATATGTGATTATACTTGTATAAACTGAAGCAAATTTTTACATGTTGCAATTCACCAAGAACTTTCTCTGCTGTAGAAAGTCAACTTTGGCTTGTTATGTGAGTAATATACGCTAGAGGTTAATAATGATGCCAGTCTTTTCATTCGCCTTATGAGAAGATGAGAACTTCTTCAAGCTCTCCTACTCATAAAAGGAAATGTACTCAAAGTTGGATTTTTTTCATTAAAAAAAGCATATCTGCTATGCAGTGACTTATTTGCTCTCCAGCAGTTTTACACTCAATTCTAAAACCCAGATAAAAGAATAGCAATTTGCAGATTAGACTTCTGCCTTTTTGATTAATTGATTTTAACCAAGTTGGTCTCTGAAAAATACATATACATACCAAAAAAGTCACGTAGAGAGATCAAGCACACCTGTTGTACAAGCACCAAGTTATGACTTCAGCACAGAGCTATAGCTCTGATGGATTTTATTCCATTAAGCATTTCCTCTCAACTAAGACAGTTTTAGGTGCAAGAAAAGTGTCCCAGCCCTTAAAAATTAGCCCCTGTACATACACTCTCGGCCACGGCTGCCTCCTCTTCCCCGTCTGTTGGAACTTCCCCGTCCACGACTCACTTCTCTGTCCCCTCGTTTTTCTCTGTTTTCTTTGTTTTCTGAGCTTTCCTTTCCAAGGCTTTTCTTCTTTCCCCCTACAGTCTCCCAAGAAGTCTATTTGGGTAGAATAGAATTAAATACAAAAGTCAAAAACAGAAACAACTCAACTCTCTATACGTTCCGTCAAACCCCTCCAGTTCATGTAAAAAAACAGGTAATTGTGCAACGCCACACATGCTATACCTAAGAAAAGTACACTGATACAGGGAAGCAGGTTGTATTATTTTTTGGAGAAGATGAGAAAAACAAGTTTTGGAAGTTTAGTTTTCTCTTGGAAAGGGAGGAATCCCACATATCTCTGGTTATAACAGACTTCAGTTAGTCCAGTCTAGATAGACTGCACTGGAAAACCTGAAAAATAAGTAACAGTCCTCAAATCACCTACATAAATCTAATGAGGGAGCATGCACAAAACAGTATTTTTCTTATGAAGAAAGGGAAAAATGCTTGCAGGCATCCCTGAGCGAGAGACTGATGAGAATATCTCAGGAAGGGGGGAAAAGAAAACAACAACAAAATCCCACAATACACGCACACAAAACATATTGGCCAGATCCAAGCACTGATAGCCAGAAAGGCAGAGTAAGAACTCAGCAAATGAAGACTGTGGTAAGTCAGACAGTCTGTTCTAAGGCCTATGGCTCATCAGCCACAGCAAACTTCACGAAAAGCTGCACCTGTACAAGACAGAAGAGCCAGGTCTAAATATCAGACCTCAGCTTAAACATTAAACTCATCATTAAAATAAATTAAGGGATCACATCAGCAACACAGGCACATCTACAGGAATCAAAAACAAAATAACTAACACACATGCTAAGAATAGGATGACAACTGGTATATTATGCAATCTCAGGGACAGCCTATTAAAACATAGCTGCAAAGCAAAGAGTAAGTTTTCAAACTATTAAAATGGCAGATACATTTATATAAATGTCAGTCTCTACCTCAAGTAGCTTAAAGTATAGATTATATGGTCAAGTGGGGAAATTGCATATGTAAATACAGTGCCATCAAATGTGAAGCACTTGATAAAGCCATGACCTCAAGCAGCAGCTACCTCAAAGAAATAGTTGGGCTATCAGTAATTTCAGGTCCTGCCCTGCACTCCTCTCAGTTCAGACAACAAGTGAGGCAAAGACCAGCTAATCTGAGCTGCCTATAACTTAAAAAAAATGTTATTGATAATGCCGATGACAAAGCAGTTGACAAATATAAATTCAATGTCTAAGTGACTCTGAGAGAGCATATGCTAGGGATACCACAAGTCCCTCATTATTTAAGGTGGTATAAGCAAGAAAGAAGGCTGAAATAAGTTCAAACTGATCTCCAGAATAACTATGGACCAACTTTGGTGCACTTCGGACTGCGTGAAAAGTCCTCTTTATTCTAGTTTTAAAAGTTTTAGCCAACAAAATATGGTCAGGCATATAACGGCTCTTATATTTGCAAAAACTAAACAAATCAAAGGAAAAAAGTCTTCTGCAAAGAAACACGTCCTTCTTTGCTCTCTCTGCCACGTCTTTTGTATCCAAGGCCAGACTGCCTCAGCCACCACAAGGAAAAGGTCTTAAAAGTTATCAGTCACACAGAACAAAGCCTTACAGCTCCCAACGAGCAGTTTAGAAGAGGACAAAATTTGCAGAAAGCAAAAGAAATTACAAATAGACTTTCTATTACTCCTTGTTTTTCCACTTTTCAAATCAGTAGATAAATCCCTCAAATGAGGTTAAGATCAAAAGAAAAAAAAAGTTTTAATGCATCAAAATTAATAAAAGAGATGTTGGAATCTCCATTCAAAACAAGTACCACTGCTACCAAGCTTATATCAAATCCATGCTAAAAAAAAAAAAATCCATGCCAAATCCATGCCAAAGTGTTCTGGACTATAATGGCCTTACAGCAAACCATTCAAGTTTCCATCAAGAATACATCTCTTCACCTTCTAATGAGGACCCTTCTAATTGACACTCTCTCTTCCTGTCTCAATGATGCCTTTAATTTCTCTGTTTTCATTTCTGAGCTGTATTTTGTCTTTGAGGAGCAATGGGTTCTGAGGGACTGCCAAAATGCTGGATACGCTCCTTCTAATTGATAACTGAGTTCAAAAAAAATTCTTCCATGCCATGATCACTTGTAACTATTTGCTAAGCTGAGACAGTGTTTAATATTCTTTTTTCAACTAGAAAACTATTTTCAACCAGAAAGTGACAAATACAAAAAGTATGAGAGAATACAAAAATAGCTAGCAAGGTACCAAGACAGATTTTATCAAGGTGAGATACTCTCTTCTACTCCCCACTTACCCACTTACTTGGCAGCATATATTCCTGCACCTTAGATCACCTCAATTCTTAGAAAAAGGGAGGGAAAAGAGAGTCCCCTTGAGCAGAGAGGCATGTCTTCTAGATATGGGCCAGGGGAAGAGGGGTGTTTTCGTCATGAAAAATAAGCAAGAGTGCATATCCTGAACATGAGACACTGAGTGTTCACCAGCTAAAAAAAATAAAAAGGAAGTCCGGGTTTCTTTCCTAATTTAGGCGAGATGGAATCTAGTTTGCTTTCTCTGGAACATGGTGAAAATCCTTCCAGCAAAAAAATACAAACACAGCAAGAAATATGCCTGATGCTTCCTGGCATAAAAAAAATAACTGTTCTATCCCAAGTTATATGCAACATCGTTTGCTGTTACACACAGTTTTAGAATTTTCTTTCTGCTCTTCAAAAGGCCATGCTAACACACAACTTAGTGGAAGCAACTATTTGCCTTATCCTGTTCTTCCTTTATTAGAGCTTTTAATGCAACCTGCGGATGTGGACGCCTCTTCCTACTTCAATACCTGCAGTGCATAGCTACAGAAATAAATTATAACTTAACATATCTGTCTTCCCTTCTAGGTTTATAAAAAGGCTCTTTGTTTCAAATGCACGGTATCCCTTATTCTGGAGAATATCCACAACCTTGAAACATAAAATAGGACAGTATATGACAGAGCATTCCATTCTAAGACAGAATTAAAATCGTTGCACATAAGTAAAGGCTGGAAAACTCTGCAGGAAACCAGCAGGCGCCCATCATATTTTCAAAGTTTGAACTATTCTAAGGCATGCACATGACAAAAAAATTGCCCTGGTCTCCATTTCCTTCAGAGGAATCTGAAAGGCAAGACGGAAATTGAAACCTTCCAAAATACACACATGACTTTCCTGAACAGTTCTTCAAAGTATAAAGGAGCAAGAAACAAAAAGCAGTTTAAGATAAAAGCAAATCCTTACTGTGTCTGAACTTCCTTCCAGCAGTATGTTGATTGCTCTGTTCACATCCCCATTACAGTCATGTAGTGCCACTATGCACTCATCCTGGTTTTTGCCCGTCACTTCCATAAGCTGGCAGTAAGAGTCAGACATGTTAAAACATCCAAATTATCATCATAAGAAAATAAGAATAAGCACCACATAGTCTTCAAGAAAGTACATTGTTACTCGTTTTAGTCATCAAAGACGACTAAAAACCTAAGTAAAGGTACTGCATTTTACAGAACTGCTTAGAATTCACCAAGAAACAGGACTAAACGCAAATTGTAAAGGTAAGTACTTTTTTTAAACTCCAGTAAACACTGCCACCACCCAGATGGCTGTATATGAGCACAAAGATGCAAAAAAACTGTATAGCTCTAGTGCTGCTGTTTCTGCCTCTGTGCCAAACATCCCTCTCTCTGTTCTATTGCTGAGAATAGCCATAAGGTAAATAATGGCAGAGAATTGATCCACCTGGAAAAGAACCAAGACTGAGGGGGAAAAGAAGGTTATTTTTCAGTCAGATCAGCTCCCTCAACCCAATTCAGCAAAAGGCTGCACAACTGGGCATAACCGAAGGCTGCTTACAAACACCTGGTAGTGGATTAGGTTTTGTGGGCCCAGGATGTGCTTCCTCTGGAGTGTTACACGGATATAATCACAGGTTCTTCTACGGCAAATCGAACAACACCCAGAGGAAAAAGGTATGAGCTGGAAATAAACAAAGGCAAAATGCAGGATTTTTAAGTCTCATCCCACTACCCCTCTACCCACCAGCAGAGCCACAGGCACTACTGGTCAGGGCTGCAGGCTTCAGGAAGGAATAGAGAACTTCACCTCTGGCAAAACTGCCATGACAACGTAAGAAGTTTATAAACAAGAACAACAAAATGCAGTTAGCAATTCCCCAGATAAGGCTTTACAAAGGAAAAAAAAGCAAGTCAAGAAATCTGTCCCTCTGCTGCGTTCATGTTTCCATACTAATTCTTGTCTCCTTCTAGGTGCGTTGCTAAGTTCTACACGAGCTGTGCTGTGTTCACTAGTCTCCCAGGATAAGATCACCAATGCCCACAGCAGAGCAAGGGACTGAACACTCTGCAATGCCAGAGCTAACGATCACTAATATAACTGGCAACAGAAGCTTGAATATCTACACATAAGATTCAGTGCAATACAGGAAATGGTGTGATTTTCCCTAGACTTGTTCCCTTTCCCTTCCCAAGCAAATTCACTAATAAGGTGACAAATTTTCCTCCTAGGCATTTCCATACAAACAAGCTGAATATATTCTGTGTTTTGAAGATCTTTAACTGGCAGGACCTTACTAGAGAGATACAGTCTGTAAGAGACATCAGCACAGATGACAGTGGGCATCACAGCTTGTCTACAAAGGAGAGTACACGAGCATTTCCATAAGCCAGAGCTATAATGCTGCAATTTCTTATAAACAGACTTTTGTTGTGCAATAGCACCTTTTCCTAGTTAAACTTAAGTCATTCTGAAAGTGGTTTAATCTAAATCATAAGCAGCCACTCTAGCTTCAAACTGTAAACTCTCTTATGAGTACCATATTGCAGGGGAAAAACTTTGTACTGTAAGGAACATACTTGTTTCACTTTATCTTCAAAATCTGCATCATTCTTATCATAGATCATCTGAGCAAGGCGAATCTGTTCTGCTGTTGCCTGAAAAATACAAACATCCAATAAAATTCACAAAAGGTAACAATATATTTTTAAAGTGTCTCTTAGCATGGCTATCTTTTTTTTTTTTCCTCTCCTGATTGCCAAAAATGATATAGGGAACATACACAGAGGGAAGAGATTAACATCTCTTCCCCTATACCCAATTTTACTATCAATAGCTTTTCTGGGACAGCAGAAGTCTCAACATATTCTATGTTTGGTCCACAATTCAAGGTTACTTACTACTTGAAGATGAGTTAATAACTTACTTAAAACTTACTACGGAAGCCTATGCTTTGATATATTACTTCCACTTCTAATTAGTATCTATTATTCCAGAATGATATTATTCTCATCATGAGAAGTGAGCAGTAGTGCTTCCGTACGAACTGCATCTCCAGAGATTCCTGCCTGACTCTGACAGTATCAGGACTCTATATACTTAGGAACTTAATAGGAGCCTGGGTTGTGCCTCAAGATTTTGCCTGTGAACTTTGCACTTATCTTCTCAGTAAGTCATCCTTCGGAATACACTTTGGGTGTCCCAAGGAAAAAGCAATCCAAGAACACTAACGTATCACATAAAGCTAGATTTCATAGTGTGGTATTTGTGGACCAGCATTCCCAGGAAGATAGCACAGATAACTAGGCCACATGATCCTGGACTTCATGTATTGTTTGCTTAAACAAAAAAAAGCTTCTAGTTCTAGTTAGGGAAGAAGGTTGATACTGAAGAGAGAACTAGGAACCCAAATGTAGATTGAGGCATTGTGAAAGTTTTCTTCATGGCAACAGTATCCAAACATCCACTGAAATTCCTGACTAAAAGGATTCATCATGGGCTTTCACAGTCTCACTTCAGAGAATACAGTGCCTTGAATGTTCAAGTGACCAACCTCTTCGATCACTCTGCTTTTGGAGCTTGCCACACCAAGGAGGTGTGGTAGGTCACTGAGTGCAAATGCTGAGAAGAGTCTAAAAATTACTCCTCCACACACCACCAGCTGCTGACTTGCTGAGAAGTGACTGCAGCTGTCCCAGTTCCTTGAGGGAAGTGACATTTGTCATGCTGAGAGGCGACGTTCCAAGACAATTACTGTGTTTGTAACTGAATTAAGCTCTCTGTACTACTTCACATTTTCAAAGTGTCCTGCTGATGGCTTCATACGTCAGCTGGTGACATAAGTCGGACTGCTCTGGAATTCCCCACTCCAGGCCTTGTGCTGCACCAAAGCATCCCGGACAGCACTCAGAGCAATGAAGCCCTTACTTGGTGTCTGTTAATAGCTCAGTACAGAACAGAAAGAAATGGTCTGTCCCTTTCCAGAATTAAGCCATATTATATCCTCTCACTCAAATTTCAGACTCTCCAGATCCATTACAGTTGCTAAATCAGTGAACAGATCTCTGTTAATGCATTCAGTGTAAAAAAAAATTGGACAATGTGATTTCTATACATGACAGCATATTTGACCAGAAAAAGAGGAAGTCATTAAATGTCATATTTTTATTAATCCATATTTTTCAATAGGCTTATATTAGAATATAAAATATACAAATTTTGTAACAATTTATGAAATGTACAACAGTATCTCCAGTTTTCCTGTGCAAACAGGAATATCAGTATTTATGTCAGCGAGTTGCACCCACCAGGAGATGAAATTTAAAGGGGGGCGGGGAGGGAGGACAAACAAAATGTTTTTGTTACATAAACACATATAACCACCAAAACATTTTCCAAAAAAGTTTCTTTTTTCCCCAATGACTAGTTCTCCATTATTTTTAAGGCATCAGCTTAACAACTAACATTGTATCATTTCAGACAACACTGTGATAAACTTTTATTTATGACTAATAAAACACTATCATCTTAAAACAACTAGAACATTATTCACACTTTGCAAGGAATATAATCTTTTCAGTATAACCAAAATAAGGCGAATTTTTAATTCACTTACAAATATCAGAAGACAAAAGTGAGGAAAAAGTGACAAGGAGACGCCCAAATACTGTATAAAATATTTATTATTCAGAAGTAAAAGTGCTACGTCATGTCTTAAATAATCAAAATTATGATCAATGTAACACTTAAGCCTCTGCTTGGGAAAGCAACACTCTTCAAGATTCAGAAAGAAGAATCAATGGCAACCAAACAATCAAATCCCACATATTGCTAATGACAAAGCTTGTCTAAGCAGAAATGTCTATCTGATACCTAAAAAATAAAAAGCATGGTGCACTGAAACATAATAGTTGTACACTAAATAGCATCTTCTCCATTCGACTGATCAAACAAGCATCCATTATGCAAAAGGAGAAAAAAATATATCAGACAAAATGCAGGAACCTTGTTGGACATAATGCTTGGAATCGCTGAACAATGCAGGTTTGAAAGGACCTCCTGCCGAGCCCAGATCCCTTCAGAGACAGGTTGCTGCTTTGAGCCTCATATAGTCAAATTTTAAACACCTCCAAAGACAAAGATACCATAACTTCTGTAACGTACATGTACTCAGCACTGAACCACCTGTGCAGTGAACCATATTTTTCTTGTAACAGTTGAAATTTCCCATGTTCCAGCTCGGGCCATTGCCTCCAAGAAGAGTCTGGCTGCATCTTCTCTTCACCCTGTCATGAGGCATCTGGCTAGAGCAGTAAGCTCTTGCCTTCGTTTTGTCCTCTTATGGCTGAACAAACTCATTTTCCTCACCCTTACCTCATTCATTCTTTGCTCCAGCCACAAGCCATCTTTGCGGCCCTTCACTGCACATGCAAATGCAAATGCAAAAAAAAATAAAAATCAAAATCAAACAAACAAAAAAAAAAAGAGGGAAGAATCACTTGTCTTCACCTGCTCGCTACACTCCTGCGATCATAGTGGTTATCGAACAAAAACAATTTAACTGCTTCCTTTGAAAGTGACTTTCTAAATCATTTTTGTTCATATAATTAATACTATATGCAGTATTACAGGAGCTCTTGCATGTTAAAGACCAGTCTAAAAAAAAACACTAAAAGATACCACTTCTAGAGGGAAGCACCTCTAAACTGATGCATTCCCTGCCAGCAGAGAACTGAGGCAATTCTTGAATTGCATCCAATTTGGAGGAGTACCTGACAACAAAGTAACAAGTTGCCAGGAGCAGAGTAATTTCACACCTTCTGTAACCCTGAAAAACACAGAACATAACTACCATGTTGCTGAGTGTCACGACAACGGGATGACAGCTTAATTTCAGTCTCATCAATACTGAAAATAGGCTGTTTTTCAACCCACTAACGGATCTTCATCATTTCGCTTTCTGTGAAGACACTGCACAAGAAGTTCAGGATTTCAGGATGTGCAGTTATGCTGAATCATGCTGTGCAGCACAGACCCATCCAGCAGAAAGCTTTTCCCACCCATTCCAATTCACATCTCAATAAGAAGTCCTGTAGCACCATAAGGCTAGCATAGAAAGAGCTGAAATCTGAGGACACCAATGCCACCAGACAAAAATCTTGACACAAGTCCAGACTTGTGTCAAGACAGAAATCCTCCCCAATGGGAAATATTGCTGAAGAACACAAAATTAAGTTAGAGACAAGAATACAAGACCAAGTTATTCCTGTGTTGGGTTACCAAGCATTTAAAACAAGATATCAAACATACTCTTTCAAATAAACTACATGACCCCTCTCCTCCTTTTCTTAGCTTTTAATAACTTATGGAAGAAGTCCATATTATTAACCAATTACTCCTGAATCAAGGAATATTGTGCAGTAGCACATACCTGTACAACTTGTTTCTGTGGTTGCGTTGGCTGTGTGGCTGAAATCTGTGTTTTATCCCGAGTGCCCCGGGTACGTTCACTGCCCACCGAAGTCATCATATACAGTATATACAAAACAATGTATGTACAAAATAGAAAATCTGAAAGAAAAAAGAGAGTATGAGTTAGGACAGGGCACACATTCAATATTCTGGTACAACAGTGCAGTAAATTCAATGTGTATTACATGCAGAAGCTCCCAAGAAATCAACTTAAACACACTGTTATCGGATTTATCGCACAGTCTTTATAGCAAAGGGAAAATGCAGAGCATAACAGCATCTTTAGATGTCATGGATCTCCCTAGATCTGTACATCCAGACTACATCTAAATCTCATTTTTTTTTCCACTTATTTAAGATTCAGACTTTCCTATCTGTCTGTCTGCTGAAATTTCAGCTCCAGGTGTATCACTCCTTAAGTTTCTGTAACACCTATCTTGTTTTGACACTTGGAATTTTACTACGCTCATATCCACTCTGAACACCCCTGCGAAGACCTGCCAGGCAGCATCATCTGGAACACAGCGTTCTGCTCTTCCCCATCATTACATTTTCTTGCACTTTTAAGGAGGTCATGGTCAATGCCCACTCTACTACTTGGCCTCATTTGTAAGAAAAATGATAATCCTTACCTCTAAACCAAACTTCTGTAGCAAATATTCTTGTTTGTATTCTTGTAGTGGATTTGGTTTTTTTTTTTTTTTTTTTTTGCTGTTGCTAGCACCTTGTTTTAGACATACTCTTGTGGCATGATCATTAAAAAAGGCTCAAACCCAAAAGCCACATGCACATACCAGTGTAACCCTGTTTTTCTTGTACGCACCAATCATTCTAATGCATCTCCTATCATAACAAGTACGAGCGAAAAATGTATCACTCCCCACTGCTTGTACAGCATCTAACACAAGAGCAACTGATGAATATGGTTTATGGAAGTTGTAATAACTGAAAACAGATTTCTCAACCGATCAGAACAGTCATGGCCAACAGCCTGGTTTCGGTCTCCACATCCCTGGGAAGTGAGACTGCGAGTTTAGGGAACTGAAGTCAACCTGCGAGGTGCACCTGTGCCCAAGGAGATGTGCAAGGAGGAAAAAGCCCTTTTGTTGCAGCCCCAACACACGAACAGGCCTCAGCACACGACTTGTCAGGGTAAGCAGCTCTGCTGCAAGTTTGTATCACAGTTTAA